CAACAGTTTCCAATGCTGTAACTGACATATATTCGTTTGGACAGACCCAACTTTTGAGAGAAACTTTTAAATATCATGCACAGATTTTGTAATTTAAATTCTGTGTTCTTCTTTCTTCTAGGCTCATAAAATTTTAGTCACTACCCCATTTTAAGCATGATTCACTGCACTTATTCCAGAATTCTTCCATATTTGGTAATTATGTGTACCATGCGACAATTTGCTTCTGTAATAGACTGCAACATCCAACATAGCACAACAAATGAAATGCCAGGTAGGTGTTTAATTCATGCTGTAACTACCAAAATCGTTTTCTCATTACAAGTAATCTACCCATGCCTATGTGTTGTGCTGCTACCATCCAGGGGTGGCCAAACTGCAGCTCGGGAGCCTTATGTGGCTCTTTCACACAGTCTAAGTTAATGTTAATAAAAAGCAAATGTGCACATTTTTCAATAAAAATGTTTGCGTGATATTTGTTCATGTCTTGCGGCTTTCAAACATCTGGCTTTATTCTATGTGGCTGTTATGTTAAGCAAGTCTGGCCACCCCTGAAAAGCCATTTTTACAACTACAGAAAGTCACCAGTTCTCAGGCTGCCTATGTAAAGGCAAAGGGAACACGTTTCCAGATATTCTCCTGTGCAGATGTCTGGAACCCTCTCCTTAAACCCTACACAGAACCATTTACAGGATTCATAATGGAAATAATCACAGATAATTAGACTTTGATTCAGGATAACTGATTTTAGATAACTGGGGAATTATTCTGTACACTGTTTACATCATCATATGGTAGTCATTCTAGACAATATCTACCTACCTTCTGTACACATTGCTACTGTCAGTGGCAGAATATTGGCTTGCAGCCATCATTGGTCTGGAGCAAGGCCATCTTAGAGCAGAAAACAGTGCGATCCTAAACAGAATTACAGCCTTCTAAATCTAAGCCTAAATTTAGAAGGATTGCAGTGAATGTCAGTACACTGTGAACTCACTGAAAGTGAAGAGAAAATTTTAATTTTATATTTTCTGGTTGTTTAATTAAGGCCAGGTTACATTGATATCATCCAGAAAGCAACTTTGCAAGAAGAACAGTAAGATAATTTTATATATAGTACTGTATATGTAGAGGAGCCAAACATAATTTGAAGTTAAATAACCTTGCATACAGCTTGCTATAATATTAGACAAAAACCTGTCTTTTCTGAGCACAATTGAATCTCTTTGTCCTATGTATTTAACTATATCACATATGCACACTGGCACTGCCTATATGCAGAGTACTCAGTTGAAGAGCAGAGCATGCGTCATGAGGGAAGCACTGTATTACTATATCTCTTTGAGAAAATGCAGTATCTTGATAGGGAGGGAGGTCAGAATCTAAGAGACAGTCCTTACATGGGCTGCCTATCCCATCAACAGACTCTGCTTCAACAGAAAGAAGAAAATATTTTTAATACATTGAGGATACCGGTCTTGGAAACGATTTTATGTATTCATTATAATTCATTTCAAAGATGATCCAGTCACAGAAGTTTTTATTATTTCTTATTTATATTTCAATGCCAGTCTGCTTAGGACACCGAAACAGCTCTGAAAGGCTCTGAAAACTTTCTAATGTGTGTTTGGTCAACAATGAGCATGTTCCTGAATCTATGTGCTTCTTACATTATAATGTCTATTCACAAAGATCCTCTCTGTGATGAAGTACTCTGTGTCTAGGTGAGAAGAAAAATGGTAGACAGTGATACTCACCTTGACACAGAGAGTACTCTATCTTTCTGTGTTATACCTCTGAGGATGCCAGTCACAGCTACTGGCGAAACATCAGGTCCTACAATGCCAAGACCACGGCCATAAGGCCTGGAAAATCTACAACTAATGAACTTTGGCCATGAAAGCCTTCAACAACATAAAGTGTATTTTAGCCTAAACTATTCAAAATGTGACTTTGAGAATAAAACAAGACAATTCCCATGTACACTATATTGAGCACCTTAAAAGAACAGTGCTATAGAAGTGTGATAAATAGACTGCTTGGGATATATAAATTTAAAACGCCATCAAATTCAAAACGGGAAAGTGATGGCAGGGACTCTGCATGTGTGTTTGTATTAACGGTTAAATGTAAGAAAGGAAATGTAGCACACACCCAGTATATACAGCTGAAAATATGCATTGTTTAATTATGAAATATATATATGATCTCACTGCACTGAAAAGGAGGAGTACACTTTCTTCTTAACTCTCCCATGTATTACTTAAGAGTTAAACCTGAAAAACCTGTAATTGTAGCCTTAACATTTCAGGATAATGCGCTGTGTTTAGTCGTCCCAGCTGTAGAAGTTGTGAATTTGTAGACCCCAAGTCATATGACACTTCTGTTATGTTTCTAATCTACAGACTAAGTGCATTTGAAGCACACCCCAACCATACTTTGCATAACACTTCAAATTATTTCCCAGTGTCAACAGCTCAATAGATTGAATCCTATAATCCACAAGAACAGTTCCTCTCATGAAATAGTGTTTCCTGCCTTCCCTTCTGGCCCTCCACACTATCTAACTCTACCAATAACATCCCTGGGTATGATAATGGGAGCCTCTAGTGAGAATCAGCAGAAGTCACACACCCTTGCACCAGTGGAAGTGCCTTTGTGCCAGTGGATATAGATGGTAGATTCCAACACAATATTCTCTCTGCAGGTAATAGATGGGAGCTCCTGCTTCTCTTTTCCCATATTAGAAACATTTGGCTAGGTGTAAACAACAATGGAAAAGGAAGATATGCACAGCTTTCAGAGTTTTTTTTTTTATTTCACAAAATAACAGGACACTGCTGATGGGGAACAGACCTACTGGTATTCATCACTTAAAGCAGTGGTACTCACTGCACGGCTCATTCATAGTTATCAGCAATGCCAAGAACCACTACTGCATGCTCTGCATACCTCTCCACCAAATACACATATATGATAATACCAGATGGAACTACAAATATAAATATTTAACTATAACCTTTTAAAGTACTATATTAAGATTATTTCTGAAGATGTAGGGTTTTCCCTTCCCACCACTGTTGAATCTTAGCCGATGTTGCCCTGCAAGGACCTTATAATGCTTTTATGGACTTATGAGCCATAACTAATAACTGGACAGTGCAATAAATGTGCCAAGGGAAATAGAATGTATGGTGACCACAAGCTGATGCCAACTGCCTGGACTGCCCAGATGAGGGAAGGCTCCCCCTGAGACGATATGCCAGACCAAGGATGCACCCATGGGTTACCTCCCACTTCTCACCTGCAACGTAGCAGAGATGAACAGCACACAGAAGCCAGTTAAAGCATGCTGCAGAGGAATGCCATGCCATGCAAAGGGAAGCCTGATACTTCTCCACAGAGACTCCATGAGCCTCTGTTGAGACGCAGGCGCATCTCCCCACCACCACCTTTACCAGATACTGCACACATGCTGCCCAGTATGACAAAGGAACTGCTTGCATAAAGGAATTAACTGGCTGACACATTGTACCCGCCAAGTCCATCACCTAGAGAGATCATTGGGCCATCAACACTAATGACCCTGGCCCTACTTCTATTGTCTTCTAAAGGTGCCACGGTTTGTAGTAATGGAATTAATACTGCTGGCATAATACATTTGGCTACACAATCTATTAATAAGTTATTTGATGACACAGCGATGGTGAACCTAAACAGCATGATAAAAAGTAGAGACATCACCCTGCCAACAAAAGTCTGCATGGTCAAAGCAATGGTATTCCCAGTAGTCATGTATGGCTGCGAGAGTTGGACTATAAGGAAGGCCGAGCGCTGAAGAATAGATTCTTTTGAACTATGATGCTGGAGAAGACTCTTGAGAGTCCCTTGGACTGCAAGAAGATCAAATCAGTCAATCCTAAAAGAAATCAACCCTGACTGTTCCCTGGAAGGCCAGATAATGAAACTGAAGCTCAAATACTTTGGCCACCCAATGAGAAGGGAGCACTCACTGGAGAAGACCCTGATGCTGGGAAAGACTGAAGGTCAAAGAAGACGGGGACGGCAAAGGATGAGATGGTTAGACAGTGTCATAGATGCAACGAACATGAAATTGAGCAAACTTCAGAGGACGGCAGAAGACAGGAAGGCCTGGCATGATCTGGTCCATGGGGTCGCGAAGAGTCGGACTCGACTGTGCGACTGAACAACAACAACAACATGGATAGGAACTCTCAGTCTGGGGCAAGGGATGCTCTATATTCTTGGTGCTTGGGAGGGGGGGCAACAGTGGGAGGGCTTCTAGTTTCCTGGCCCCACTGCTGGACCTCTTGATGGCACCTGGTGTTTTTGGCCACTGTGTGACAGAGTGTTGGACTTGATGGGCTTCTGACCTGATCCAACATTGGCTTCTCTTATGTTCTTATGTACAACAGATTACCTTTTCCCAGGAACTCATGCGCAGGTCTGGACAACCCCTGCATGAGTAAGTAAACATGATGGTTTGAGTATGTATATGGATGCATGTCATTCTGTTCTTCTCATATGACATTTATTACTCCATAATAGAAGTTACATACATGATGAAATAAAAATAATGTGGTCGTCTCACTAATTTCTTACCTAAACAATCCCTGAATTTATGACAAGTTAATGTACCACAGACATGCACTTTTTATCAATGCAGAAGTAAAGGAAGGGTACAAAACCAGGTTCTCGGTACCAGTGTAAAACGATCAAGAAACAGGACAGATGGCGTGCTTTATTTCTAACCAAAGAGGCCAGAGTTCAAGACAGCTGGGAAGGTAGATTTCCTACTGTGGAAGCCCTGCCTTTTAACCGCCTGTGCATGGGAGGTGGTTGTGGTGGTGACTCAGTGATCAAGGACGGTCTCCCACAGGTGCACAGAAGCAGTGCCTTCTCCAAGCAATCTACAGGTGCACTAAATAGTTTTTGCTTGAGATGGACACTGATGAGCCGTCCGCTATTTGCTTACTTACCCATGTTGTACCCATATGGCGATTCTGTGACTCCATTCTCCAGACTTGCTAGTATCTCCCCTTTGCCTACGTC